GGCTTACCCCCACACGCTCATTTTTCCACCCAGTAACTGTCTTATTCCGTTCCTTATCAAGCAAAACTTCTTCTTTCAGCTGTTCATATACACTGCAGGGAAAAAAAACCCCTCCCTCTCACCTACAGACACAAAAAAAGGCAAGGAAATGGGAATACTATGTGGAAATAAGAGGAAAGAGGAAGTAGCAATGGGAGGATTTCTGCCAGGAGCATATTTGTACCCTGGAGAAAAGGATGCAGACAGGATCATATAGCCAAGAATCACTGGCAGGGACATACAGTCTTACTGCCTGGGAATGGTGTGGAAAAGGGAACACCGGGTATCACGAAGGCAAATAATTGCTGGCAGAATGAACTCAGGGAAAGGTTTAAATAGGTATGGTAGGGACAGCCAAATTCAAGGAGATGAGAGCTTTCAGCTGCTGTGCGGAGCCTGGGGCCAGGGAGGCTGCAGTGCAGGTGAACAGCCCTGTGCTGACAGTGCCCCCGCACCAGGGTACGGCCAGCTGCATCCATGCAGCATCAGCATTGCTTCAGTCAGGAAACCTGCCCATCTCAGAGCCAAACCAGGGAATGGATGCGGTTGGAACAGCTCCGAGAGCTTCATTTGGAACAGTTAAACAGACACAAATGGCCTTGCAAATACTAAAAGGTTTTCCCCCAAAGACCCAACGGGCTGGCTCGGAGCAGGGGCCTGAGACCAATTAGCTGTTTTACAAAACTCTTATTGAGTGATCCAGATACAGCTGCCTCTGCCACCACTGTCATTCCTTCAGGATTGTAACACTGTTTCATTTCTTTTTGGTGGAGGAGGACATGCTACGAGGAAAGAGAAGCGAGAGAATTTTATGCTTTTACCTGTCCCATAAAATCCGTGAAGAAGAGCATGTTGGACAGGAAAGCCATCCATCCAAAGAGGTGGCTCACACACAGATAGCGATAGTGGGATGGCATGCTTAAAAGTGTCTTCAAGAGTGATTTAAGGGTCATCCGCTTTTGATCCTAAAAGCAAGTATTTAACAATAACACTGTATTATTGCCCTGAGGGCTAATAAAAGAGCTGACAGCAAATGAAGAAGGCCTCAGCATCTTTTCAATTCTAAACTTCCCAAGGTCTTTACTTTTTGCTAGAAAGATTTGCTTGGGAACTGGAACGTCCTTCAACATATATTTCATTTGTAGAACCATTGCCTAAGAAAGTCATGTGAAAGATTCACAGAGGCTCTGAGAGAGCTGGGGTATATCAGTAAGGACGTATCATTTCTTGCTGTTATAAACAGTAGGATTACTACTTACTTGTAGAACCAAGTGGAAATTTTCTGCCAAAACAGATTTGGTGGAGTATCAAAAAAAAAAAAAAACCAAACCAAAACCAGAAACAAAAATAAGTTCTTTATGGGGACAATCAGCTTTACATCAAAAATTTATAGAGTCGCCACAGAAAAAAATTAAACTTAAAATACTTCCTGAGAATTAAAATGCATCAGTTGTGGAATACAGCACTTCTGAGACCTTGTTGCCATTCCCTGCTATGTGCTAAATTCCCTAGAAAACTTCACCTCTTCTGGCATATCATGAGATTTCCACTATATACTGTCCTGCCCTCCATCAAGCAAGAAAAGACTGTGATACCTCCCAGGAGATGCAGCACCACTCAAAATCCTAGCACCCAGAGAACGTGAGCTCCAGCACCTGAACACCTCATCCCATGGCAGAAATAACTCACATCAAAATCTGGTGCTGGTTAACAAATCTCACCAACAGGGAAACCCAAAATTTCTCACCACCTTCAATGCCCCACCTTATCTCCCTCCTCCTTGTCTGAGCCCTGTGCCCAAAAACTCTGTTTAAAGAAACGTTCATCAGATCATTTGTATCACTTGAAATTTTTTTAGTGCTGCAGGTATGCTTGATGTCAGACACTTGTGACACACAATTCTTACTGCTCTAAAGCTCCTGCACGGTTCTTTGCTTTTAAAGATAAAAAAAAGATATTATTTTATCTGTGCATGATGAAATGCTTCCAATTTACTCTAGTAATGTTTGGAAGCACCAGTGTTGGTAGAGATGGTAAGGGAAGCTCTATGGTCATGAAATGTGGGAGAAGTGTAAAAGTTATGTTAATTACTGGAAAGCTGAATTTTGTCTTCAATTTTCTCTAAGATAATGACATTTTTTCCTTCCTTCCTTCCTTCCTTCAGTATTTTACTTACTTTTCACAATTCTGCTTTCCTTTGAACAAGGTTATGCTGCAAGCTACTCTATAAATAATCACCACATATAAAGTTGGAAAATACTTTGCTCCAGTGGGAGGTTTTTAATCCTCATAGGAATGCCAAAATTCAAGTTGCTGGCTTTCACCTTGAACTGCATATTGTCCAAATCCCTTGGAATTTCTCTTGGCATCACTGTCTCTTTTAAACAGAATAAGCTTTCTAGTCTTCTACAGTTATGAAAACCAAGCAAAAAATTCCACATTGGTTCATTATTGTTATTTCAAGGATAATTACTATCTTTTGACTTAACTTATTTAATTTGTTCAACTCTTCCCCACAGTTCTTTAAAACAGCCTTTCCAATCAGAAGTGTTAACGTAAGGTCAGGGAACTACAAAGGACACTGCTGTTATTACAAACAGTAACTCGACCGCTAGATAGAAATGCTTGCTTTCTATTTAGATATTCTAGAGAGTGGAAATGGAAGCTGAAATGTTTAATGCACACATTCAATACACACCAACACACAAACCCCACACTAATTTAAACAAGGTGCTGAAGTTTGGTTCCATTTAAGCGCCTTACCCATCAAAAGCTCACAATACCCAATCATTTTCTCTATAAAATCACTGCAACTCAAGGCCTAAGATGATTTGTAAGGATAGAGAGGAATGGACATGACTTGGGTTTTACAGCAGTAGATCCTGAGAAATTTGGCACCAAACTAAAGAACAAAAGATGAATCACTTTGGATGTCTGCTCATACCATAACAGGTCAAATCTCATTAATACCCATGGTTGCTATTAGCATGTCAGAGCACAGTCCTTAATTTAAAAGATATAGGGCCATGATGCCTGCAGCAAAAAAAGAGACAGAAAAACAGGAAGCCAAACCATTTCTTCAAGGAAGCAATTACAATAATGAATGAACTCAGAAAACATGTGCCACAAGAGACAGACCACTAAGGCAGTGACTGTCTAGAATTTGTAGGTGTCCAGGCACATCAAAGAAGCATGAGACAGATCAAAGCCCTGTGAGCCTCTGACAGGCTGTCCAGTTAAAAATGCAGAGAGGAGGGCAATGGCACAAGCTCACCCACAGTGGATGCCAGAGCTTCACCTCGGGTGTCAGACGTTACTGATTCAGTGGAATTAGTTCTTGCCAAGGTAGAGGCTACCCCAATCCATAGTCTGCTCCCCTTGCTTTCACTGCATCTGCTCTCTCCTCTTTTTTTTGCCTTCCCTTCTTTAGAGCCCACATGGACCCAGCAGTCAGTGACACTCAGTGTCTCTGACAATTTGGAGGATGCTCAGGGTGAACAGTCCTGGTGAAGAATGCTGGCTGCTCCAGTTGGCCTGTGGTGGGGAAACAGGGAAGCATTGCAGCATGTGAGCCACATCACCCTGGCCAACTGTTGCTTTGCTGTCTGCCCCTCCCCATGCCTGTCCAGCATTCTCATCAGACAGCGTTCGTCTTTTATTCTACCTTTGTGTTGTGGTGTAATGTTTTTCTTTGGGTTAGGAATACCAAGCACTATTATAATACAAAAGATAAATAGTAGAAGATAACAAATACCTTTTGTTTGAGGCTTAAACATGAGTTTAAGTATAAGTTTCTAACATAACCATCTGCACATTCTCAGTATTTTTTACCTAGTTTATCAAGACCCGTATTGGTGATGGACACACGTAACACTGAGGGATCAGAAGTGATATGAAAACAGCAAGCAACTGTTTCATCACTTATTGTTATACTAGGAGCCAAACATATACACGAGCCTTTGCTTACCTAGGGTACCATGAGAGTGAAGTGAGGATTCCTAGCACTAAAAGTCACCAATGTAACAGTAAAAACTATTCTCTGTTCCCAAGACCATTCCAGAAATGTGCTTTCCAGATATTTTTCAGGTAGATTCTCCTTTTCCTAGTTGCCTCAGGTTGAAGCAATTGCTCACAAAAATGCAGCAGAAACAAAATGAGAGGCATGAATTGAAAGCACTCGCTATTCTCACCCACCTAAATGTTCTGCCAAAGATACAGCTACATCACTTCAGAATAAAACTAAAAATCTGGATTCGAGGTAGCATTGTTGTAGAAGTACCAATTTTAAAGACATCAGTACCATCAATAAATCCTCAATTAAATGCTGAGCAGCAGCATAACTGGAATGTGTACCAGCCCAGGGAACAAACACTGCATATGTACCATGTTTGTAAGTGTGTGGGCTTCAATGGGATCTACAGATCTATAGCAAAGATTAATGGTCTGTAGTCCTTGTCCACAACATGATGTTAATTCTGTCAGGACTGAAGGACAACGTACATCCTCTTGACAAAACTCACATGAGGAGGATATCAGGAGACTGACACAGAGCAGAAACCTGAGCCTGGTTTTCCCTCATCCCTGCCAATTGTTCAAAGCATCAGGACTAATCTGTCTCATCCCTCTTGCTGGAAATACTTTATAAATAAAAAGAGAGAAAAGCAAGCAGGGTTCCTTCTGGCCCTGTATCCTAGCAGCGGACTCTTTTTGCATGCGTGTGTGAGAGGGCTCCATTCCAAATACCCATCATTAGCTAATTAAAGGGTCTCCAAGGCTGGATCGATATGGGTTACACAACGATCTCGGCACTCACCTCTGTACGTGATGCAACAGCGCATTTCCCTGGTTTAGCTGCAGCCTTTATTTCAGTATATGTTGATTTTAAGTAACCGTTCTTGATTTCCTCCTCTATGGAGCAATATTTATAGGATTCAGTCACTTCCAACAAGAACTTTGTCTCTTCATTTTCGTATCGAAGTGGGACTTCGGGAATACTGCGCAGATGTACGGTAAGGCAGATTAGGAAAACTGAGGCTGTGAAGAAGAAAATCACCTGGAATTCCGATGCCAAGGAAAATCCTAGTACAGTTTGAGCCCAATCCATAGCACCTGTCAGGTAACCCAGCGCTCCTCCCAAACCTGGGGTAGGATAAAAGGAAAGAAAAAAAATCTACTGGCACCAATAAAATAAACAAACAGTATACAATACCCTCAACGTGTGATCCCCTCTGAATAATCCCCCTGAATAATCACTCTCCAGAAATTAATCACAAAAAATAGGAGTATTGGGCTAATCACATACGTGGGTAGTTACCAAAATATCTCTTGAAGAATCTCCTCAGCTCTGGTGGCTAGAGGTCTCCAAAAATGCCTGAACATATGGCAACATGGGCCTCCATCTCTTCTCTTGACTCTTTGAGGCTTTATTTTCTTTGAAACAGTGAGGAAGGTAAAATAAAATGCTACTGAAATTTATGGGGTTTTTAAAACTTTCCAAATATATTTTTTAATTATATCAAGACTACCTATAGTTTTGACTTTGTAGAATGTATTATATACAGCTGAATCTAAACAGAAATACTGTCTCCATATGAAATTTAAAAAAAAATAAAATAAACCCAAAAGCATTATTTTGCAGTTACCAAAATCCAAAATCCACTCAGAAAAGAAAACAAAAAGGATCGAATACAAATGTGCAATTCTGTTTACCAGTTTTCTCAGAAAGGTTAGAAAAAAAGGTAAAGTGAGAATCCTACCTTGTGCCTTGAAGTTAACAAGAACAGCATTTGGTCTGATTTTTAAAAAAATCTCTTCTTTTTGCTATTAGTGCGCAGAGGACGTGCACGCCATTACATGGTAGGGGAAGGTAGCTCTGGTAGGGGAAGAGGCTTTGTAGGGTCCTGACACCTTGTTAGCTGGTGGCTCTGCAGGACGTGGGAGTGAAGCAGGATCAAAGCATTTGAAGGACTTGGAAGTGGTTCTACTCTTTGACTTAGAATCATAGAATCACAGAATCATTTAGGTTGGTAAAGACCTTTAAGATCAACAGGTCCAACCATTAACCTAACCCTGCCATCCCACCACTAAACCATGGCCCTAAGCACCCCCGTCTACCTGTCTTTTAAATACCTTCAGGGATGGGGACTCGACCACTTCCCTGGGCAGCCCATTCCAATGCTTGACAACCCCTTCTGTGAAAAAATTCTTGCTAATGTCCAACCTAAACCTCCCCTGCTGGGGAGGCCATTTCCCCTCGTCCCATCACCCCTACCAGGGAGAAGAGGCCGGCCCCCACCTGGCTCCCCCCTCCTGTCAGGCAGTTGTAGAGGGCAATAAGGTCTCCCCTCAGCCTCCTCTTCTCCAGGCTGAACAAGGACAGGAGAGCTGAAGACAATGTATGGCAGAACCGTTCTGTCTAACAAAAAGTAACAGAGGTAACAGGACCTACATTTGCTTCACCTGCAAAACATGGGCCTTTGATTTCATTCTGGGCTTTCTGTACTTTTTTCCCTCTTGGGTCTGATTAAGGCTTTCCTTCATTGTGTCCTACTGCATTTTACAGGGGATTGTATCCTTGCTTGTTCTCATGAAAAATAACTAAGCTGTTAATAGCTTTTTGAAGAAAACCTACACTAAAAGTTTGCACAAAGTGAATGTTTGACATCTGAGAGGTTGTCTCCACACATTGTTTTGACAAAGAGCAATCGTGATATTGGAATGCAGTCTGAGTGTTGCGTGTTGGGTGTGTGCACTCGTGCTTCCACTTGTCTTGGTGGTCTTAAGTTACACAATTGCAAAGCTATTGAGTTCCATGTTCAAACCTTTAATTGACGACAAACTGCTGATATTTGGTATAAAAAGAAGGAACTAAATAGGGGAAGCAAAATAATATCTAAAACAGAAGCTAGAAGAGAAATGGGAAGATTGCTGACTGTGTCTAATAGGGATAGAACAAGGAAAGATAAATGTTATGTTGTAGGGAATAGATGTTAAGATTAGATTTTAGGAAAAACTGTCTAACAACAAGGCCAGTGAAGTGCGCGAGCAGACTCCCTTGGGAGGGCTGCAGAATCCCTATCAAGGGAGGATTTTAAGAAGAGGGCCAGGTAATTACCTATCAGGAAGGGCTGAGATACCAATGATCTTGCTATAGGGGGCACAGGGTGCTGGACCAAATAATGTCATCTGTTCCAGTCTTATTTGATGTGATGTGTCCCACATCCCTCTTCACAGCTCAGTACACAACTGAATCAGCTAAACCTGTAGCTCAAATATGGAAATCAAGCTTTTTTAATATCATCCAAGGAAAAACTGCAAACAGAGTTCCACTGAAGGCAAGGATATACATAGTCGCTCCCCTCTCTGTTCAGACAAGTGACTGCTAAAAATTTCCTCTGTCAGTTTCTACTGGATAATTCTGATTTTGTTCATATGTGGCTTTAAAGTTCCCTTATAATCTGTGTTCCTGGACACAGCTATTTCATATGTCCACAGTCGGCCTCTTGTTAATAGTTACTATACCTCCCTCCTCAGCTAGAGCACCTGCCACTGAATCTATGCGCCTCTGCTCTTGGTGCAGCCCAGTAGCCACAAAAATCTGCATCGACGCAGACTGCGTGACTTCTCATCTAGTCCGCTTTTTGTCTGGCCCTTTCATGGTGGCTGCTCGCAGACACGGCTGAAGATCCTCCCGATTCCCATTGCAGGGACACAGGCTTATGTGTCTTCCCTGTGCGTTTTTCTCCACACAGGGCTTGCGTAGTACAGGTTTCCTTCTGTTCAGAAGGCTCCTTCTGTAACTCAGCAACATTTCCAACATGTATAAAGCCAAATGCTGCTCTTCATTTGCAAGAGCCTGGACCGAGCCACTTGGACTTATTTTGTGGAAGTTGTGAAGCTCTGAATTTTACAAAGAACTCCCATTTCCATACAGGAAAGCAGCACACATTGGAGCACTGCCTAAGTATGCAAAGCAAGTATACTAGTTTGTGCCACTCTTGCTCTACGTCACATGCTGAAACAAAAGTTATTTTTATGTGCTATGGCAAGGAAATGAGTTACATCCCTTAAATTTTTGTTTCACCAAAATCTTGAAAAAAATCAGAACAAGCTGAATAAACACTACTTCACTTTTTAAAATAATTAATTGCTTACTTAAAATCATGGCTATTGTGCTGTAAATATTTATGCCTGCAGCCTTCTGCAGCAGAATTCCTGTAGCAGCAATCACAAGTTGCTGTTCTCTGGAGTAGTGAAAACCCAGCAACAAAAGACTCGTGACTGAAGCGCGGGATCAGATGATCAGTTCATTCAAGATTAGAAGCACAGTAAGAAAAAAATCCATGCAATTACCTTCTCCTCCTTCGAGAGGTAGGGAGGAAAGGGAGGGATCTGAGTACCTGTTAAGAGGGCGTGGTAATGCAGACCCTTCTCTTTATCCTGGTGAGAGCAGACATCAAATAAATATGCTTTGATGGGGCCATCAATAAAATCAGCCGCAAAATCAAAAAGCACTACTCCCAGCATGGTAATGACTATTGCCCACGTCCGCCGATTGTTTCTCTCACCGATGAAAGCTACAAAAAGAAAAACACCCTCATTCTGACAGCAACAGTGCCATGTTCTGCAAAACCACATTTTATCTTTCCTTGATACCTCCAAATCTAAACAATGCTTGGTTAGGCAAGAGAGAGCAAGTGATACCAGAATCACATCAGGGAAGCGGGGTAACCGAGTCTGTGTAGCGCTGAGCTTAGGTTGACTTAACTGCCTCGAGTCCACACACGCTCGGGACGCTCCAGGCTCCACAATTGAGAGCATCACTAGCCTTAGCTATCCCTTCGCACCTCCGTGGTGTGCTCTGGTAGCCTAACACACATGCATTTTGTAGTACTTTTTTTTTGTCTTATTCTATTTGTCCCACCCTTGCATTGTTTTACATAATCAAGAGTTGACTGTGACATCTCTTTTTGGTCAAATGAATATGAGGATATTCAACACCAGTGATATCCAGGAAGAGAGAATAAATCAGTCCACGCAAATGCACACCTCCCCGCTCTCCCAAGTCATAATGACGGCAACAACTTTCCACCTAGACTTTAAGAAGTTGTATCTCAAGCTGAAATAGAAGAGTATCTAGGGATGTCACTCCTGTTTGATTTTGCATATTCCAGGTGCAACAGGATTTCCAAGGAGTTACGAATTTCTATTATCCACCAGCATCACACAGTCCCCCAGTCAAGCCTGTGCTGCAATAATTGAAGATACATATTTTGAATGCTAGTCCATCTAAAAGAGGGATTAACAGATAGTCAGTTTGGATGCGTATTACGTCACACAAACAATATTGATCACTTAACTTCCCAAGGTAGATTTTAGTCTGTAAAAAGTTCTCTGGGCCTAAGCAGTGCTTTACTTGTATGAACTGATCAGGCAACCACACCAGCATGCAACACACTGCAATCACATGCAGAAACTACAGAACGCTCCGTACGGGCTACATAGCATGCAGGATTGAAGGTACAGGAAGATTTCAGTGTTCCCCAGTTCCTTCAGTGCAGCTGAGTAATGCGGCACCCAGCTGTAAGAGTCCATTTTAGCAGGGAGAAGAGGAACCCCTCTTTTCTTTCTGATTCAAAAGGCCGGGGTGAGTTTTGTCCATCAGGCACAGAGTAGACCCCTCACTCACCTGAGATCATCACGTCCCCATTGAGGTACAGAGCCATGCCTAACAGCATTATGATGCCCAGACCCAGAATGTAAGGTCGCCGCCGGCCCCAGCTGCAGGTGCAGTGGTCGCTGGCCGAACCTGCCACGGGCTGCAGCATGAAGCCCAGGACGGGGCTGATGAGCCACACCAGGCTGTAGAGGTGCTTGGGCAGCCCTACGCTCAGCAGCACCGGCGTGACAAAGGCGGCCTCCACGGCGTAGCAGAACTCCCGTCCGAACATTGCCATGCTGTGCATGACCAGCCTTCCCACCGCTCGCTTCTTCGGCACCACTGCTCCAGTTCTTGTCAAGGATTGCAGCAGAGCCTCCGCCTTCTCTCTGCTGCTGTCCATGTCGACCTTGGCCACCTCAGGAGGGGGTGGAAGAGCCCCGTGGAAACCCTCGTTTGTTAAGGTCATTGCTCTGGCTATGCGCGGCGCTCCAGCGAGTCGGTGCTGCCTGCCCCGGCTGACATGGAGCCCAGATCATATGCCGGGTGGGATCGGTCTGCGCTGGGGGAGGGACTCACATACTTTCATGGCTCTGCGATCACAAGTTATGAAAGGAAGGGGGTGGGGAAGCCTGTGTTAACGTTAGCAGATCTGAGCTCTTGGGTGTCTGCAAAGCTCCCAACTATCTACAACTAAAGAACTACTGTTTAAGCTCAAAACACACATATAACAGGAACATAACATCACATGGGCGAGGCGCAGGATTAGCCTGACACAAAGCCATTCCTCTTGTTGCTGCAAGACGGCGGTGGTACCAAGAAACCAGAGCCCTCATCTTTCTGTTCAGCAAACAACACGAGCACCAGAGTGCTGATTTCCTGACGATCGGGGGAAAAAGAATCTATAACACAGATCCAGAAAAGGACTCCAAATGCACTTCATGAAGATAAGTAAGTCAACCTACCTATTGCCCTAGAGTGTTAGTGGCAGATAAAAAGTTTGACAGAAGTCTGTCAAGCAGCGGCTGGTGAATATTTTTATATACCAGCTGTATGCCACCCTCAATACAACTGATTATCTTCTTGGTTTGTGAAAAACAAAGGATATCAGGATCACTTAGGATTTTTTTTAAAGCAGTCTTACCTGCCAAGAGAAAGCCTTAAAAAAATCTGTAGTGACATACCAAAACTGTACCTTTCAGGTTAGCCACCTGGGTGAGGCAGCTGATTCAACCTGTGCTGAACCATAGAATCATGGAACAGTTTGGGTTGGATGGGACCTTTAGAGGTCATCTAGCCCAACCCCCCTGCAGGGAGCAGGGACATTGCTCACTGGATCAGGTTTCTCAGAGCCCCGTCCAACCTGGCCTTGAATGTTTCCAGGGATGGGGCCTCCACTACCTCTCTGGGCAGCCTGTTCCAGTGTTTCATCACCCTCAACTCTTCCTTACATCTACTTTAAATCTATCCTCTTTCAGTTTAAAGCCATTACCCCTTGTCCTATTGCAACAAGCCCTGATGAAAAGTCTGTCCCAAACTTTCCTATAGGCTCCCTTTAAGTACTGAAAGGCCACAATAAGGTGTCCCCAGGCCGAACAACCCCAGCTCTCTCAGCCTGTCCTCATAGGAGAGGGGCTCCAGCCCTCGGATTGTCTTTGTGGCCCTCCTCTAGACCCACTCTAACAGATCCACGTCTGTCCTGTGCTGAGGACCCCAGAGCTGGACACAGGACTGCAGGAGGTGTCTCACCAGAGTGGAGCAGGGGGGTAGAGTCACCTCCCTTGACCTGCTGGCCACGCTGCTTTGGATGCAGCCCAGGAGATCGTTGGGCTTCTGGGCTGCCAGTGCGCATTGCTGACTCACGTCCAGCTTTTCATCCACCAGCACCCCCAAGTCCTTCTCGGCAGGGCTGCTCTCAATCCCTTCATCCCCCAGCCTGGACTGATACCAGAGGTTGCCCTGACCCAGGTGCAGGGCCTTGCACTTGGCCTTGTTGAACCTCATGAGGTTCACATGGGCCCACTTCTTGAGCTTGTCCAGGTCCCTCTGCATGGCATCCCATCCCTCAGGCGTGTCAACCGCATCCCTCAGCTTGGTGTTGTCTGCAAACTTGCTGAGGGTGCACTCGATCCCACTCTCTATGTCACTGATGAAGATATTAAACAGTACTGGTTCCAGTACAGACCCCTGAGGTTAACTGCTTCTATTAGGTTTGCATGGCCAGGTCTTGGTAGCAGTGAAGGTTACAGGGGTGGCTTCTGTGAGAAGCTGCCAGAAGCTTCCCTTATGTCTGATAGAGCCAATACCAGCTGGCTCCAAGATGGACCCACCGCTGGCCAAGGGAAGGTGGTAGCACCTCTGAGATAATATGTTTAAGGAGGTGAAAAGAAAAACCCTGCACAACTGCAGCTGAAGAGAGGTATGAGAATATGTGAGAGGAATAACTCTGCAGACACCAAGGTCAGTGAAGAAGGATGGGGAAGGAGGCGCTCCAGGCACCACAGCAGAGATTCCCTTGCAGTCCATAGTGGAGACCATGGTGAGGCAGGCTGTCCCCTGCAGCCCATGGAGGCCCACGGTGGAGCAGATCTCCACCTGCAGCCTGTGGAGGGCCCCATGCCGGAGCAGGGGCTTGCCCCAAGGAG